CAAAATGTACGAATAAGTTTTACATTTGTTCACATCTTTCTAACTATCTGTAAGCCTATCAATAAGTTCATGACATTAAAAAACAATTATTTTGAACAATAAACGCTTTTTTTTTTTTCAACACTTCCACTATTTACATTATTCCAACTATTGTTCTCATCTTTGTCGCCATATTTATTACAACATTTCGGCCGTTGTACACTCCGGACTCTTTCAGGTGGTTGGAATGTCGAACTGAACCCTTTATTTCGATTGAAACGTTGTAATAAATATGGCGACAAAGAGGAGGACAATATTCTGAATAATGTAAATAGTGTACATAATATCTCATCTCAGAAATATAGACAGATATTAAACACTTCGCTTGTCAATGTATTTAATTTTGTGGCAAATATTAATAATAATTCAATGTCAGTCTTCAGGATTATTCTTTCATTACACACACACACATATATATATATATATATATATATATATATGTATGTCTATATTTCTGAGATGAGGTATTATGTACACTATTTACATGGTTTGGACTATCATCCTCATCTTTGTTGCCATATTTATCACAACATTTTGGCCGTTGTACACTTTTTCAGGTGGTTGGAATGTTGAACTGAACCCTTTATTTCGCTCACTGGGGTAGACTAGTTCCACGTGCCATGTCTAATGGATGTCAGTTATCAATTATCTCCTGTTAATTCACCTCACCAAGTTCCATAACCAGGTATTGAATTCACACACTTTCAGGTCCTGTCACTGGATCTCACTAATGCCTTTATCCACTGTGCCATGTGTCCTTGCGGAGATCTATGTATGAATTTCTGGGATTTATAAACCTAGTGTCTTCAGCAACCATTTTTACCAGTGCTCATATTGCAATTTTTGCTGTCATCATTGCATGTTTTTTACCAGAGCTCATATTGCAATTTTTGTTGTTATTATTGCAGCCAAAACGTTGTGATAAATATGGCAACAAAGATGAGGTCAATAGTCCAAACAATGTAAATAGTATGTATATATACATTTTTTTTCCTACTACATCAAACATTATTTTGTGGAGAGGATATATATGTATATATGGTAATGGCAACATTAGACTTTTCCTTAAAAATGAAACATTTGGCAGCAAGTACTGTTTTTGGTTGAAATCTCTAAAATCTTTCTCTTAAAACAATTTTTCAGGAAAATATGTTTCTCAAATCCAATAACTGTTATCGCTCATTCAAGTATTGATGGGGGATTTCCTTCCTAACCTTTTAGTTGAAGTAGTGTGGTAGGTCAACATATAGATTATATCCTTGTTTTCTCTTCGAGTTACATGTGATATCAACATCTTGATTATATCATTATTTTTCTTTCTTTTTGAGTTGCATGTTATATCCATTTTAGTTGTTGGTGCTGTTGAAAGTCTTTCAAGTGATATGGTTTCTGTTATCTGGCATAGTTCTTCGTTTGTGATTCTGTAGTGTCAGTTCACAAGGTTTGAAGAAGGATGGTTTTCACTAAGACTCATAGGCTTTACTCGCACAAAGCCATTTTATAATCATTGATCTGAGAAATCGGTTGCATAACCTTTGTCATTCAAGAGAAAGAGTATAAATAAAAAAAATTGTGTGTACTGAATACTTTATGGCAATTTACTATTTATCTTTTTATCAAACATATAGAAATAAATAAACACACATTGTAAAAAAACTGCCATTGACAGTAACTCAATATAAATATATAAGCAACAAGAAACAGGAAGCTGTGGTTTGCCATGATCACTTTTGTTCTCAAGGTACATGGCATACACAGAGATAAATGTAAAACCAATATAGCTAAATTGGTGAAGGTATCATCAGAGTAAAAGACGAGCTGATATGACAATATTTGTATCATCAGTGCAGAAGATGAGTTGATATGACAATATGGGCAAATATAAATGATTGGAACAAATAGTCAAGAAATGATTCAATGATTTAAAAAGTTCTTTTGTCATTTTGGTAAAAACCTTTTCTATGAAATATTTTGAAAAAGAATGGAAAAAAATGCTAAGGACATACTTATTTTCAGGAGCTACTTCACCTAGTTTGGCCAGATCTGTATGCGTTGAAAATCCTATTAGCAGCAGGTACCTCTTTTCAGCTTTTAGGGTGTGCATAAAAAATTTGAAGGAAATAGCCGTTTCATACCTCAAAGAAGATGATCTAGGGCACAAATCCTTGTATAGGGTGACCAAAAAAAAATGGAAACTTTTTAACAATCCAATAAAACCAAGAGTGATGGAAGAAAAATATTTTATTTATAGTAATTGAAACCTTAAAACATGCCATTTAAGAAACAATGATGGAATTTTCATTTTTTAAAAATTACGTCCTGTAGATAGCGTCCTCCTGTACAAATGCATTCTTGAAATCTGCTGTTGAGATTCCTCATTGACTGCTGTAACATTTCAGCTGGGATACTGTGAATTTCATCTTGAATTCTAAATGGCGAAATGTTTACTTGCTCAAGGTCACTGTCTTGCAGTGTTGCCACTTGCTCATGTCTGGCAATATGCACTTCAAAAATTCCCATTTTTTGGGGTCACCCTGTATTTCCCAGAACACATGCATTGTATAGACTCTCCCACTGTCCAACAGAGAATGTTCAATCATGTTTAATATATTTTTTTTTTTAACAGAGACTATCATAAGAATATTCCCTACTGAACTGAACTGCTGTGTAATATATACATTTTTTACATCAGAATAGAGAAAGATGGCTTCCAGAAACTAAGCAAAGTATTAAGAAACAGGGAAATTTCATTAGAAACAAAGAAAAGAGTACTGAAGCATGATGCAACATCAGTCCTTCTACATGGCAGTGAATATTGGGTAATCTCCTCACAGATGAAGGATAAACTTGAATCAACAGAAATGTGGTTCTACAGAAGGATGCTGAGAATATCATAGACTGAGCATGTGAGCAGTGACAAAGTTTTAGAGAAAATGGAAACAAAAAGGAGGCTTATACATAACATCAGAAAGAGTTAAAATTTCTATGGCACATAAGGAAAGACAGATTGGAAAACTTGATACTCACAAGATAGATTGAGGGAAAGAGGAAAACAATGCAAAAACTACCTAGCAAGCTTGTGCAAATGGATGGCAGAACTGGGTTTAGGAGAGATAACAAAAAGAGAAAATTTATTAAGAGCTACAAAGAGCTGAAAATTGTGAAGAGTCATGATCACCCACATCCTGAAGATACATAGTAGAACAAGAAGAAATACATATTTTCTCTTAAAAATGCCACAGAAAATCTCTCTGCCAATTTCAGGTATGTAGTAGGCTAACATTTGCTCAGATGCTTTAGATTATCAATATTTGTACCCAGCCTAACTTCTTAATAGTGAAATATTAAAAACATAAATGAATTTTATATACCACATAAAAAGTAATTTATGATAAACATTTCATAGGAATTTCAAAGAGATTGCTTGGCTACTTTTATGACATATTTTCTGTCAGTTATATGACAGTCACATCACAAGTTCCTGATAAAAAGGTGTGATGGTAATTATAATTTCATTGGTACTTTCCTCTGACCGGAGATAAAAAGACTGTCAGAAGAAACATCTCTTGAATTTATATCTATTCTTGAACCACTGTGCCAGAAGGATGAGGTGATTTAGGGAATTAGAAAAGCTTGCTGACAGGAAATTGAGAAAAAATGTAAATGCACTTAGAAATAACTGACATGATGGTGTCCTAGATAGGATGTTAGAAAATGTATGGTTTGAACTTGAATTGAAAATTAAAGTGTTAATAACTTTCTAACCTTTCATGTCAGTTATTTGAAGCAGAAAACTATTTTCCATAAAAAGGGTGTGAATATCAAGAAAATATACATTATGGCATATGAAAGGGGTGCCAGATATATGTACACAAAAGTATATATACATACACACATAAAAGTATATATATATATATATATATATATATATATACAAAAAGTGTGTGTGTATCTATATATATATAAAAAGTGTATCTATATATATATATATATATATATATATATATATATATATATATATATATATATATACAAAAGTATGTATGTATATATATATATATATATATATATAAAAGTGTGTATGTATGTATATATATATATATATATATCCACACACACACAATTTGGTATCAGTTGAGATTCTACCTGCAATCCATTGGCACACAGCAGAGATGAAGGTGAATTTTACATGTATCTATTTTAGATAAACACACCAGTGACTGGAGAACTTGATTTGTCTTAATGAAAAGTCTTGCAGCAGTATGTATGTATACATATATATGTGTGTGTATATATATATATATATATATATATATATATATATATACACACACACCCTCCTGATGAGTTGACTGAATGATTACACAAAGGTTTTTCTATGAAACTCTGGAGTAAAATTCTGATGAAAAATTTGCAGGTTATTTAAAGCCAGAAAATATTTTTAGATTGTAAGTTTTTTTGAGATACTAATGGTTTAGTGATACAAGTCTTACTAATTAATCCATAGCTGGGAGTGCAGAAGAGGTGGATTCATACCTTTCCCAAGGGTATTTGTGAGTAAGTGAATAGAACAAACCCAACTGGAATTGGAACTTGGCTATTTTTTTTTAGCAATTCCAAGTCATTAACCTACACATCCAAGCTTATAGCACCTCAGTTATGTGACATGCGTGATACATGCTTAGGGGATCATGTATCTTCTGATACATGACTGACAAGGCAGATTTTTTTCCCCACAGTAGGTTGCCATTTCTTTCTGCAGTAGGCCAGTTGCTATCCAAGGCTATAGAACCCAGTCTGCTATTTACCCATAGCTTTGGGAGGTGGGGGGAGAAGAGGATTCATACCTTTCCTAAGGGTATTAGCACATAAGTGAATGTAATGGATCCAACTGGAATTTGAACTTGGTTCTCAGATTCCTCAATCCGAGCCACTATCCATTAACTCCACCGTGCTTCCTTTACAGCACCTAGTATTCCCAAAAGGTTAGCCATCTAGGTACTGACCAGGCTTGATGCTGCTTAACTTTGGTGATCTTATGGAAGCTGATGTTTGTATATGATATGACCATAAGCCTTGATAAAATGGGTAAACTAGTGACTATTTAATAAATAGCAATTATGCAAAAGTTTAATTTCAGTATTTTTGATATATTTACTTTTAATAACTTAAAAAGCAGAATTCTTTCTTACATGCAACAATAGAAGAAATTTTACAGAAAATAATCCTAGATTACTTATGCAGAAAATATAGTCATTGCAATTGCAAAATTACTGAAATATTGGCATCATTTTTTGATGGTACAAAATAGATAATTTTTTTTTTTTTAAGCATTTCACCCCAAGCAAGGAAGGAGTTCCACTAGCATGCAAGGGGTTACAAAGAATGAAAATAAGAGTAAAGAGGGGTGTTTAAAAAAAGGATAAAGAGAAAGATGGGGATCAAGATCAAGGCATCAGAAGTTAACAATTGACATTACATTTTAATTTTTGAAGATTATAGTTATCAGGGAAGCAAGTAAAAGGAAGGGAGTTCCACTGTCAGGAAGTGCGAGAGAAGAAGCTGTTGGAGTAGAAGAGGCAGTTACATTTAACTGTTTCAACAGTAAAAGGATGAAACTGAAATACCAACCTAGTAGCAATAATGAAATTAATATTTCATTACAACTGACCAACTGCTAGAAAAAATAAAATCTGTTTAAAACTAATTTTACTTCTAAAAATTTTAATAGGCATTTAATAAAAAAAATCATAGTACATGTCATGAAATAACATTTTTTTGATAGCTTTTAAAAACTGGATGGAGTGAATTTTTTTTTCAATTTCCAATTGCATTCCACACCCATATCTGGAATGACAGGTTTCTAATTGTTGACATGTGGCCATAACCCACCTTTTTTTTTTTTGCATTACATTTTAAGTGTCAACAAAGCTGGTTCTCAAGATGTAAAAGATATTTCCCATCATGCCTTAAACTCCACCTACACTAAAGATGGACGCTTTATTAAACAATAAAAACAAGACAGAGATTCCTAAGAGATTTCTTTCAATTCACTGATTTTTTTTCTTCCATTTCAATTCTTCTTAAAACCCCTCCCCAACATAGATTCAGCTTAGTGATACTCACACTAACCATACATCAAGAGTAGTATTATTTACAAAAAAAAAAAAAAATAAAAATATCAGTGTAATTTGACTGTCAGAGGTAATTGTTAGTAACTAATGATTGTAGAGCATTACAAAAGTGTGTTGTACTTCATTTTTGTAGCCTTGTACCAGGCTCAGCTTAACTAAGAAAACAGTTACAGACTGCTATGAATCACAAAGTATATATATATATATGTTTAATTTGTTTAAACGTTATTTTTAATGGATTCTCATATTTGCGCAGATGATCTGTTTTTATTTATTTATTAGACAGTATATTTATTTATTTCCATCTACCAGCCTGAATATTCGAGAAATCTTGTCAGAAAAATATGCAACCTTCAGCAGGATTCGAACCTCTGTCTCCTAGTGGAAACCATCATTAGCTCTGATGTGCATTGAACATTCGGCCACAAAGAATCTCCTGATCAAGCAAAGCCCAAATAGTGCTTTCGAACACAGATCATTCCCGATTCTCAAAATATACATACCTGGTCTTCTCTGAATCCTAACGAAAACAAAGACAATTTTTAGGAATGGATTTTCATTTATTAATTCAACATATTTTTAATTTATTTGTCTAAATTTTTAATAGATAGTCATATTTGAGTAGATGATATTTTTTATTTATTAAACTGTATATTTATTTTCATCTACCAGCCTGAATAATCAAGAAATATATATATGTAAACACTTTAATTATTTATATAAAATATATTTAAAGGATTAATAAAAAGAAAAGGAAACAAATTATAAAATTCATCATGTTTTGCAGTTTTTATAAAATACATAGGTATGTCAGTATATCTGGAACCTAACGATGATAAAAAGCTTTCATTTTACACAAATATTTACTGTATATACTTGAGTATTGGTCACACTTTTTTTCACAAAAATTTTGATAAAATGCTGGGGTCTGACCTAACCACTCAACATCATAGAGCATCCAAAGCAGACTGCGACATATCAATATTCCAAGCAAGTACCCTGGGCTCAACCATTAGCAAGAGCAAGGGAGAAAATGAATTTTTCCCATTTTGATTTTATGTAATCACTTCTTCAAATAGTACCAGGTCACACATTGAATAAAAGCATTCGATCTGCACTGCTCATATTTACCATTTATTATCTGATTTACGATGAAAGACTATCATTTTCATGTGATTTTAGGACTGAAGCAATTAATGGTATCCAAATTTTCATCTGAAGCCAGCCACTTGACAAGTAAATACCACACAATTATAACCAATCACTTTTCTTATGTTTTAATATATGTAAACAAAGTTTTGAAATAATGGTGAATATTTGAAAATATTTAAGAAATATTGGTTATATTTATGTTTAAAAAGGGCCATGCAACTCTCTAGATCATAGTGTGGCCTATCTGTGAGTCAACCACAAATACCCACTTTGACAACCCAAAATTAAGTGTGCGGCCTATCTACTGGTGTGACCTATACATAAGTATATACGATATTTTTAAACTTTTTCCTGTCAATGAACTTAATCATACACTTCTTATTCTTTATTGGCACATGAAGTAAACATGGTATAGTGAAAATTTCAGATCTATACTCATCTATCAACTTACTGATCAATCTTCAATTTCATTCATTCCTTCATTTATTTATTCAGTTAGTTCTTTTTTTACCACTGTGGTTAGCACTCCCCCCCCATCTCACAATTGTGGTTCATGGTGACATTCAAGGCAGAATAGTGCAATGATTTGCTGGTTCCTTTGGCAGTGGGGATGTTGAGGTTATCCTGTCCCTCTTCTCAGATGTTAAATAGGCAAGACCTACAAGGTGGTTTCAATTTAGAGTTTTCCTCCTTGTAGACTGGTGATGATATATGGAGGCGTGCACTTCCCATACTACATGCCCATCCCTCTCCTGGCTGTACCCACAAGATACAAAGAAATACAAGGCATTAAAATTGGAGTCGGTTAGGTGGCAGGAGTTGGTGGAAATTTGTCAGTGTTGACAGCCAACTGTCTTTGGGGCTCCACTATGGGTTTTCTGTCTAGATTTACATCCATAGCCCCCTTTTGTATTTTGCATATGACCACAGTGCAGTGGAGGCTTAAAATCAGGGTTTTCCTTCTCCTAGATAGACTGCCTTCCTGGTCTGTTGAGCTCCATCTAACCGAAGCATCTAGTTATAAAGCACTAGTTTTCTGCTTTTGCCTATTCTCTGGCTTGGAGCTGGACTCAGTTTTCAGAGACTATTTAAAATGCTCAACTCACAAATAGAAAATATCTTTTTTTTTTTTTTTGGTTTGCTTTTTTAGATGAGTAATCAGAGAACCTGGTTCAAATTCCAGTAGAGTTCATTATATTCACTTATGCGCACTTGGGAAAGATATAAATCAATTTCTTCTTCCACCAGCTAGGTCCTGTAGTTTTGGTCGGCAACCAGTCTACCACAGAAAGAAATGGCAACCTACTGTGGGAAAATTTTCTGCCTAGTTAGTCATGAATCAAAAAAGACATGATCATCCAAGTGTAATCACGCATGGCACTTAACTGACTGAGTATATTATCAATAGACTTTTATAATATTTCAAATATGTCAAAGTATACAGAAAATATTTTCATAAAAAGTAAGTTTAATTTTAAGGTTGTTTTTCCTCAAAACCATTAAATATAAGGAGTAAACATTTGGCAAATTCTCTGCTGAAAATCAAAATGTCATCTCTCAGCATGTTGAAGATTAGTATGTAATATCTGTTCCTCTTGAAAAGTGTTATGCACACAAAATATTCTTGACTCGACTGAGTTTCATGGAATCACATCAACTCCTCAGATTTAATAATGAATGAATTTATTTAAATTATTATTATTAATCATGTTCTATCTCTTGATATCAAGTACAATAATTACTTTGGAAATAAAATAAGCATATCCTAACTCCCCTATTGAACAATATTTTCCAGCACTAGAGCAGAATGAATTAAATAAAGCTTCATAAGCTTCTACTTTGAATCGTTACTATATTACAATTACAAAAATAATCAAGGGGTTATCTATAGCTAATGAAATCTACTGTTTTTGTTTTACAGACATAATATCTGCACTCCATGTCTAACCATCTTTGTGGTTGAGTTTTGAATTTTCAGAGTTGCTCTTTTCCAACCACAGCAAGAAATCTGTCTGCTTTGCTATTTAACACATAGCTGGAGGGAGAAGGGATACATTCATACATTTCCCAAGGGTATTTGAACAAAACTGAATGTGATGAGCTCGAGTAATTTGAACTCAGCTCACCAATTTCTCATTCCAAGATGCTAACCATTACACTAACTGCACGTTATGTCATTTACTAAAAAATAAATGATCAATAAATGAAAGGAAGAAGAGAGGAAACAGTACTGACAATAGTCAATAGCATAGAAAAGCCATGTTAGAAATAAGAAAGAATAATAGAGCAATATAATGAGAAAATAATTTTAAAAACATGAAAGACAAAGTATTTTGAAATTTAAACACAAGGGAGAGTATAGAGATCTCACAAGGAGACACTGTAATTATTAAAAAAATACTAGGTTTTTGTATTTGAACCATAAGTGTCATCAAATATTAGGTTTTTGTATTTGAACCATAAGTGTCATCAAATACTAGGTTTTCTTATTTGAACCATAAGTGTCATCATGTTTAAAGTAATCACAAAGCAGTCTTTTCTTTTGAATGAAAAATATTCAGTAATATTAGTCAATCTTTAATTTTTTTTTCTTATATTTTTTGATTTCTTACATTTTATAAAAAATAATTTTGAATTATTAGATCTGACATGCACTTTCTCTCTCTCTATATATATATATATATATATATATATATATATATATATATATATATATATATATATATATATATATATAGGCAGGATGTGTGTGTGTGTGTGTGTAACAAATGCCCGGCCGCAATTTT